ATCAGCATGATACTCCATTAACCATCTCACTATTGACTGTGTTTTACCCTTCCCAGTTTCCGCTGAAGTCCATCGAGAATACGCGTGATAACGTCTGGAGCTGAACTGGCATATTTATCTCACAACTGTAAACATCCAGCATTCTTCTTGAATTCAGATAATTTAGCGGTGAATAGGATTGCTGTCAGTCTCAAAATTAAAACGAAATATGCCTATTTATAAAGAGGAGCTAATGCTTATCATTATTTACTATTATATTTGTCTCAGAAGAAAAAAAAAAAAAAAAAAAAATAAAAAATTAAAAAACAAAAAAAAAAAAATAAACGAGTCGTGCGTATTTTGAACTTATGTTTGAGCCCGCTCTTTTCCAAGCACATGTGCAACCTATCATCGTTATATGTACCACCACTATCAGTGACTTGTTACCAACATCCAACCAAGGAATGGCTATTCAACTCTCAAAAGGCTGGCAGTTATGAGCTGGAAAGGCAGTGAGGTTGACGAATCCTGTGCTCGTGGGAATTGTATGTTTTGTCGGCACGAAGGCGGCTGAGCAGAAAGGGCAGATGTCTTTCGAAAGAGGATGATTACCGCTGCACGATGAATGTGGTAGGACTTTTCAGCTAAGCTTCGATATTGAGAATCGCTTCATTTTCGAAACGTGTAGTCTCAGGTGTCGTGGAGCGTACACACTTTTTTGAGTTTTGACGGCAGTTGTTGGACTTTCACCGTGAGTCTCTGCCGTTGATCTGCCTACACATGAGTGAATTCATAGCTATAATGATTGACATGCCTTTAGTGGTTTACTCGAGAACGCACCAAAAGAGGTGGAGCACGACCTTGTGGTGAATTTCTTCACTTTTCACCCTCTTCTGTTCGATCCAGTCCCTGAGGATTCTAGGTGTGGTTATCATGAAACCTGAGCTTCTCAACTGCAGTAGTGGCTTTGTTCAACCAGGGCGTACGGGTGGAGTAGGAACCAAATTATGGACGGAGTGCGTGTCGCACTCCTGTCATCGGTGGTCAATTCATGGGGGAATCTTTGGCGAGGCTTCAAGCATATTTCGAAGGAGCGAGAACCTTCACGAATTGTGCATCTGGAACATCAGGATGTGGTGGCCACAAAGCAGGGAGCCCCGTGTGGAGTGGCTCCCAGGAAAGAGTACAGGCTCTCCAAATCCGACACTGATGACCTCTCTGAACGAGGGTTTGTCTACCAGCTGTAGTCTCCCAAGCAGAGAAGATCCAGCTATTCTGATACCTCACTGTTGGTGAGGGCAAGGAGATGCACCGCGATGCAGACGCCGCTTTTGGCTTCAATCGGTTTGTGGCTCAGTAGAGCTGCTTACGTCAGAGCGCGAAAAACATAGCTCTTCTCTCTTTCCACTTTGAGCTCGAAGAAGGCGACGATGGTGGGTAAGATTCGGGTATAATTTACTACACGGTGTGCCCTATCTACAGCCTACGTGAACATTTAGAATTTGTTGAAGGAGCTTGTGGCATGAGATCCAATAAATACGCACGAACTTTCGAGACAACCTAATAATTTAATTAAGAAACCACTGAAGATACTCGTAATGAGTCGCGCATTCGTTCATAGAAATGAAACTTATAATTGCTGAAGATTTTGTTTAAAATTAGCAGTGTTCGAATAAAAAAAAAACCACTACAATTAGAATTCGTAATAGGGACGCTCTACTATCAGCGTCTAAGCTACTAACGGAATTTGCGGACTTTTGCGTTCTGACGCCCTTATTCAGCCTTTATCAATTGTTATCACTTCCCATCACCATACAACAATGTTCCCGTCCCACCCCACATAACACTTGTAAGTATGGTTGCTCTGGTGTCAATGCGAGCCAGGTAACGGAATCGACGACTTTTGCGTTCTGACGCATCTTATCAGCCCTTATCAGTTGCTATCGCTTTCATCATGTACCACCAATGTCCCGGGACCACCCCACATAACACTTGTAAGTATAGACGCTCTAGTACCAATATGAACGACAAAACGAAATTGGCGATGCTCGCTTTCTAGCCCCTCTTATCAGCTATTATCAGTCGTTATCAGTTCCTATCACGTACCACTTGTGTCCCCATCCCACCCCCTATAACATATGTAAGAACCACTGGCGCTATCATTACTGTGACTCGAGCTATGAATTTCCGGTCAAACACACACACACACACACACACACACGCTTAGCCGCTTATATATAGTAGGATCGTTTTCACTCTAGCCTACTATCCTAATCTTCCAGGTCGCAAACTATGAACACCACTACAAGGAAAGGCTCCCAGGTCGCCATGGCCATTCAAGAAGATGTATACGCTAGATGTGCCTTTGAACGCTGATCTCAAATCTACCTTCCAAATCTGCTAAACGATTCTCTGAATGGAGTTATGAAGCAAAACAGCGCAACGGTAGTGGTCGGGACTCACAGTCAAAATGTCGTAGGATCGGTCCCTTATCGTAATTACTGTTTTGCATTCTTCAGGAATTCAGTTAAATAGGCTATTAAAAGCCGTTTAGCTGTATTCCTGAAGAATGGAAAACAGTAAACACGATAAGGGACCGATCCTACGACGTTTTGACTGTGAGTCCCGACCACTACCGTTGCGCTGTTTTGCTTCATAACTCCGTTCAGAGAATCGTTTAGCAGATTTGGAAGGTAGATTTGAGATCAGCGTTCAAAGGCACATCTAGCGTATACATCTCTTCTTGAATGGCCATGGCGACCTAGAGCCTTTCCTTGTCAGATGCCATTCGTGCTTCACGATTTCGAAGATTAGGAAATTGGGCGGTAATAAGTAAGATACGTATTAATTAGGCTGTGACCATAGCTAAGATTTTCCTAGATCAAAAGTTTTTGTTCTGTATAATTGTATTTGTTTTCAGTATTAAAAGCTATTTAATGTAGCAACTGACCCCTTGGACTACGACTTTTTCAATGTGTTTACCCACGACCGATGTGTTTTACATAGTAGCTATCGCTCCTTTTGCAACGGCTAATCACCTACAGAATTCTTGGCTGATTTATGCTGGATTTGACCTGCGGAAAAACATTTTTTTTTGATCCACTGGACTACACACGCGTAGCTGCCCCCTCTTTGTCCTACCAACACCATCGTGCCCGCTCGCAATGAGCTGTTTTTGCAGAGTGAATTGGCCTTAAAGGAATCTTGCGCGGAAAATTCTTGCACTCTTTCCTAACATGAATATGTCAGTTGTGATCACTGGAAATAGCACACAAAGTTTCACGCATGAAGATTCGGTTTCTGAAGAGAAACAAACGTACAAAAACTACACGTTATGGACCATCGAAGGACCAGGAGGCAGAGCCAGGCGAGGCATGGAAAGAAGACGGCGTTTGGCCGGCTACGTACCAGGCGACGCAATGAGAGAATCGGGTTAAAGCGCGCGATTTCGGAGAGTGGAGACAAATCGATCGATGGAATAGGATGGAGTAAGTGTAAGATGTGAATGCAACGAAGCAGAAGGCCAGAAAGAGCTTCTAGTGAATGCACTCCAAGAACCAAGTTTGAGCATCCCCGTCGCCAGCATTCGTGAAAGACGTCCGTGGGCAATTCGAACGCGTAGCAGCCTTTTCGAGTTTTCGAATTTCTAATCAAAACGAAAGCAATACTTCAGTTCTTTTCACTATTATCGTGGATAATGAGTCTCAAGCCAGTGATTTATGGCTGAAATAGAATCATGATTTTTCCGCGCAAGATTCCTTTAAACACGTAGCGAATACAAACATTTCCATATCTCATTCGTGGAATGAACCCAATGTCTGGTAGCTACCACAATTGGATAGAATTGAAAGTCGCTCGCAAAGTGTGCCGGTCTGAGACCGGGTGCTCCTGCTCTAACGAGCCTTCTTCTTTTTCTATGAGACTTCAAAATCTGCTCCATCATAAAAGCCTCTAATTTCACTTCCGCACCTTCGAAACTGTCAGAACCTTGGAGGTGGGATCTCAACCACTGTCGTGAACGTCCGCACAGCAGGATGAACCAATCGTCGTCCGAGTACGTGGTCACATGAAGTAACGACCTCCCTCAGTACCTCCTCATTGTGGGTTTGATACCACCTCTCATAAACTTTGCTTTAAATGTGAATGCGAGTTCCTCGTAATGTACTAGAAAAGCATTCAGTTCAAGCGCGGTTTATCCGAGGGTCAGATTTGCAGAAACCCCGCTCAAAACCGTCGAAATCTACACTCTCGATGGACTCTGCTTTTTTCTGTTCCCAATAATGGGAAATATGGGGTCAAGTTTAGTACGGATCTCTGGGGTGCAGCGAGCCACTGTGCCACTGCGCATCCTCCTTCAAAATAAAGTGGCCCATAAAAACATCTTCCTGTTTTATGCTTGTTGTAACTTTCCGAAAGCTAAGCGTCATAAATTATTTCTCGTCAAGCATCTCTTCAAAGCAAAATTTTTTATCATTTCCGCAAAAATGGTCCCTGCACTGTTATGTCTTACATGCCGTTCCACGTAGTTACCGGGGAAGGTACCAAACTGTCCGGTTCGCAAGACGGTCCCTGAAATTTCATGGATGAGATGGAGTATTCTTGGTAGTCATACAAACCAATGAATATTGTTTCTTTATATCGATAAAAAATGGTTCTCTGGGAATGAAGAAAAAACATACCAATGTACCAGCCGTCGTCGCACTTTTCAACTACAAAAATGATGTCATTCACTTCCAGCGCCACTTCGTCGTCCTTCGTAGGAGTGAACGGATAAAGAGCACGGTAGCTTAAATTGAAGGATTTACACGCGTTCACTTTTGAAAAAGCAATACTGATTTCGTGAGTTTCAAAGATGGATAATCACGTTCTTCCGCTATTAGTTGCGCGTGACAATTAAATACCCACATACCTTCTGCCCCACCCTATACCGTCACTGTAGTCATCCTACGGTCATCGGTCTGAGGTTGCGGACCTACTAAGCTGCATGCCGCGGCTCGATCCCTCCCGCGGCTTGCAGTGGTCTTGCCGTAGCAACTTGCCTTCCTTTCGCTTTCGACCCACCCCCCTCTCCATACGTGCCCACAACCCTATGCATGCTGTGGCATGTAAATGTCATTTTAGCTGTAAGCTCGCGTCTCATTATGTCCTCATTGTGAAAATCACGAATACAATAGTCAAATAAATAAATAAAACACGTTGACGACATTGTTTTGCTTTGGTTTTTCGACTATGTGGGACAGGGCGATTTTGTGAGCGCGGTTGCCTCACTCACACCTATGGATTCTGGTGGTGAATAGGCCAAAGTTAGATCGCATAAAGTAATGTCGGCCACTTTAGATACGATAAAACTATTCAGAGATATAAGTACTGGTCGAATCTCACAAAAACACATCTAATGATAATAGAAAAGCAAATTTCACTAGCTTTAGCTGTAGTAAGGCCCAAAAGCTATGTTTTGTTGTTTTTGTTGTTGTTCCATTGGGATCACATATACTAACACCCATATTGCTCTGTGTTTACTTGTCTAAGCTTTCTATTTACTTTTTCATGAGAACAAAAAAACTAGGAATGGGTCGAATAGAAAAATCATACGGTATATAAAAGTAAAAAAAAATAGAAAAGGGCTCTGATAAACAGAATGATAGAACCACGTCGTTGCTGCAAAAAACCTAGAAAGAAATAGTTAGACGAATAGAAAAATCGTACGGTGCGAATCGCGCTTTCGTCAGTCCATTAAAATTCAGAAGGCGAGAAGACGAACTAGTTCGGGTGATAAAGCCTTTTTGACAAAAGCACATGGTCCTTTTGATCGAAATGGCAGAGGTATTTGAAACGTCTGTTCTCGTTCTCACGGGACTTGCAGAGGCTGACCCGAAGTCACGATTTCCTTCTATTGCTAGGGTTCATCAGCGAGGCTGGTGTTTTCTCTTGCCTTCATTTGGAGGAACTATCCGATTCATTTAGGGATAAACGTGTGTTGACTCGATAAACGCGCCTCCTTTTGAAGATATTGAAGCAATATTGCTTGCATGGAAATGCTCGAACCAACTCCCTCAGACCCCTTACAACCTCACCTTGTTGGGGCTTTTGCTCTAGTGAAGCTTAAAAAAAAAGAATCTTTGAGACAAAAACTTTATGAAGATGAACGACTGCTGTTCTCCTTAATTTGAAGATCAATACTGAATTTTAAGTTCGAGAGAAGGTTAGGGGAAACGCATGCTGGACTTGTCGTATAACGAATTCGAACCCTGTTAACGCTGCAAAACCGGCATACAAAATAATCATCTATCCTTCTATTTTATAAAGCGCTAACTTTGTGTCGGTCGGTTTCTGTATGTGTGTGTGTGTGTATGTATGTGTGTCCGTCCGCAAAATGAAGTGAGTGAGAAGGAAGCTCATGGGATAAACAAACCGCTAACAAATCGGGTAGCTTACAGGATTTGAGATATCAATGTTTTGTAGCAGGATAGTTGTGATAACACTCTTAGGGCTATATAAACACCTGCTTAGCACACTTCCGTTCATTCCACATGGTGCTGCAGTGGCAGCTGGAGGGCAGTGGAGAGAGGAAGGGAGGATGAGGAAGGGAAGCGAAAAATCTACCGTCATATCATGATTGTGTCCCTTCTACTGTATGAAACACCATTGTGTTGCATACGCGTCACTTCCAGGAGGTGTTGGTGTCACAGGAGGAAGGGACCATAGCGGAGGATAGAAAGCTTGCGCAGGAAAGGAAGGTCCCGGCGGTTGACGGGGGACTAATCTGGTAATATAAAATTACCACAGTAAATGTATCCGCAACAAAATGAATAATTGGGTATTCCCATGGACGCCAATTTCATTCAGCACTGCACAACTATCTTTCGCCTTACGGTTTGAAGAAGAGCTTCGGCGAACAACTAAAGCTAACTACTGTAACTCTGCTTTCCCACATAGAAATGCTATAATGATCTGGTGAGGGGAAGTTTCGCATCCTGAAATAGGATTTCACGAATAGGTAGGTGGTCGAGAAAGGGGAAATACACCTAGTGGGAAGTCAGCTGGGCCGTCATTATGGTATTTTCTTTATCCCTGCTTCACTGACCACCCCAGCTTTGATTTGTAATGCCGCTGCCTTTCATCGTAAACTCCGCCTTCCGACCGAGAAACACTATGCCAGCACTCCATGTGGAGCATCATTTCTCCAAAAACAAATGACAAGTAAAACCGTGACCTTCATGAGAAAATCATTCTGGAGTTAGCTCCTCTCGTCACACATTTCGAGAAGGGCAGCAGCTGCATGGAAATCGAGGTCACCAAACAGCAGTGGCTCAGTAAGAGAACTGGCCAACGGGGGACGAATTTCCCTCTTTGAATATTTTGTGGACGTAATAGGTAGGTATACAAATAATATGTGGGTAAATACTATATTTTTCTTCTAAACAAAAATTTATCAACTTGAGGAGCTTGTTGTCCGTATGACTCGATCTATGTACGCCAAACTAAACTACCGACAAAGGAAATACTACCGTCTCGCCTAATCGCTGGGCTAGAATA